AGGCTACAGCGACCCGGGCGATTTCGTGCAGTCGACTTTATTTCTTATCTTATTTGTGTCAAATATCTCCAGAGGCTAACGAAATTTCACGAATGTTTTTGCAAAGTAGTCAGTAAGCTATTCTTTTTTTTATATGTACGGTAACATTTCGTGGGTAATGTGGTTTGAACTACCTTGTAATTATTATTTATTTTTGTTGTTGATGATCGTTACAATAAAGTTTATTTCTTGAGAGTTTCATGAATTGGGTTCATAACTTTATTTTCCATTTGTTCTTGAATGTTTGAGATTAAATGATCAGTGCAACACCCATAAAAATCAGGAGAGCAATAGTGTTGAATCGCTGGTGGGCGTCTTTTTTTATAGCGCACTTCTTGGGTCCAGTATTATCATAATCTTTTCGTTGCTGCTTTGAAAGCTTTTTCTTGTACTGTAAATGGTGAACATTATGTAGAAATTTTGTCTAGCCCATAAAAATCTACCGCATCCTCCTGTTTTCGTGCTTCTGAGTCCGATATTTTCATATCGGTATCAATCGCTCGTTTTTTCGTCAAAATCTCATAAAGTTTTCCGTAGCCTTTTTTGGTAGCATCTTTCATAGCCTTTTCATACCAACGTCTTTTCGCTTCTTTTTTCTCTTTGACTGCCTTTTGATACTTGTCCTGAATAGCTAGTCATTTCATTGTAAACGTTAATCACCACATCGCGCTGACTTTGATGTCTTTCGGCAATTTTTTCAGAATTGCGTCAACTTGTTTCATTTTCTCATTCCTGAATTACGCAACTTTAAAATAAATTCAAGTCGATTGCGCACATACCTAATCATGTGCTTCTCCTCTGCTAATTTTTTGAGTTTGGCTTTTTCACTTTTTGTTTTCACCAAAGCTTCAAGTTCTCTTACATACACCGGTCCATCATCGCAACGAAGGGCGGCCCAGACGGTAGTGATAACATTCAACGCAACTATCAAGTGACGCATGCTGTAAAGATTCGTGAGTTACTGTCGACTGGAAAATTAGAAAAAAAGGCAAAGAAATCTGTGCCAGAGAGTTGGGTGCTTTGCCGGGTAAAGCGACATCCTTTTAATCTTTGGTTGGCTTGGGGGTAATAGTAGGCTGCTGATAAAGCTCTTTATATGTGTTGTCTCAATCGGAGCGTCAAAACTTCAGCTTGAGCCTTCGCCGTTGCCGCGCTTGGATTCTCGTCACATTCGCGAGGGTATATTTTTCGATATTTTCTCAAACACGCGCCATTTGATAGCTGCTGGGGTGTGGAAATGCTCAAAATATATGTCTGTAAACGCAACACAAACTCTTAGCTGAGCGATCGCGAGAACTTCGTTGGTGCTGTGACATTATAAAGTGCCATAATTATAAGGTCCCATATATTCGTCGTGATTTTGCCCTTCCTCTCCATGTCAGCGGATGATGCTCGTTGCAGGAGCGAGGGCGTTCTCTCCGTCAGATAATGTAAAGTACGATTGGCGATACTTCTGAGA